TTACATGCACTCTGTTCTGTAACAAAGCTTATTGATGAACATCGATCATACCTTGCCGCTCTTCTTAACGAATTAGCTTCAGTAGAATGTCAAATGATTTCGTCAATTATCCTGCAAAAAACCCTCTCATTGATGTCTAAAGCATTAAATTCTGTTTAAAAATCATTTTGATATTAGGTGTTGTGTTTTCTTGATACGTCAGGTCAAGTATCTGCATTCCAATGATAAAATAAATCCCAACTAAATAACCATATACGGCTTCGCGTCTTTAAAGTTTGCTGTCCATATATCAGTCTGTGCTGTATACATACACTAGTACAATGTATGAACTATACATTCATTAGCTGTGTAGCGACACGTTGTTCATCTGGTAATGGGCATTATCAATTGATTGAAGTTGGTTCTAATGCTTCTGAAGAAATATCGAACACGGTTGCAATCAAACCCAATGAATCCCAGTATGGCGGCTATTCACTATTCCACTTATTTATACTGTATGTCTGATCCAGTGCCAAACGAAAGGATATATTGAAATGGGCTACGCTCGCCCTAATTTTTTTCCCGGGCATGTCTCATAAACCGTACAAGATATCTTTTTGAAACTTGGTATACGTACATATCCAGGGTTGGTCTTTGTGTGGCTAAAACCTGTTTTAACGAGAAACGGTTAAAACCAGGTAAAAAACGGTCAAAACTCAAATCTAGTTTAGGCCATTATATTCTACTACAAGAAGTTAAAATAATGATATCCGCGCATTATTTATTAAAATTTGATTATAAATTGTTAAAACCTGCTAAAAATCTGGAACAATAGGTTAAAACTGCGAGGACACATTCAACAATTATATCTTATTCATACCCTCTTTGAACCAGTATATTCTACTATAAGGGGTTAAAATAATGAGATCAACACAATATTTATTAAATTTTGATCACTAATCTGTCCATACGGGATAGAAGACATAAAAACGATATCCATGAATTTCTGTTGGTGTACAGGAAACTACAATGCTTATGTACTCTTCAAAAAAGAAACGCATAGTGAAATTTCGTCGTCGGAATACCCTTGCTCTACTATCGTTTCGTTGCAACAGGAACCGCGACTCGTCGCTGAACTAAACTGTTCTCCGGCGTTGCTGTTAATAACAGCTCTAACTCGTAATCCGGATTCACGTATAGGCGGTTACGGACACTCTGGTCTGAGATCCTACGCCATCCAGGAATTGCTGCTGCAGTAGAGGTCCTTGTTGTGAACAGTACCCGCAAATGACGTAACCAGATGTTAACGATCTTGGGCGGGTGTGGTCACTCTGGGTCGGTCTGGGCGTGGGCGGTCGCATGTTGAACCTATCCCAAAGGCAAGAGGTGGTACTTTGGGAAACATTCAGCAGCATGGGTACATCTGTATGGGATTTACCTGCTTGTAACTGACAAATAGCGTTGCTGCATTGGTATTCGTTCAGAGGTGGTAACATCACTTGACTAGTTGAGTGATTTCGAAACCGAGAACCCCGGGATTTTGAAGGTCTTAGATTTGGGTTTCATGCGAAAAGCGTGTGAAGTTAATAAACTCATCTGTCCAAACGAAAACAAATATGGGCAAAAAGTCTGACCAGTCATAATTAGTGACCCTACTTTAAAACCAATAATGAATTTATTTTATCCTTACATAATGACCCTAAAAACAAATAAGATGTATGCAAATCCCGTTCAAATAAAAAAAAAGATGAAAAATGGGCTATGCGTTTCTTTTCATTTTCTGTATGGGGCTTTAGACCATTGGGTGGGTATTAAAATATCAACCGTTTATAGTAGTTTTGTGATTTAGAGCTTTCTATGATTTGTGTTTTCATGCAAACAAATTTGATTTAATTTTTGGTATTCCGGAGCATATCTCATTAACTATTCAAGATATCTTTTTAGAAATTTGTACACATATGAACATACGCGTGCCTCTGCTAATTCGAAATTTAATTTGGATGTAATTTTCGTGTTGGCACTGAAAGAAATTCGGTTTAGTTTTTGGTATACAGTTTTATTCCTGGGAATATCTCACAAACCATTCTAGATATTTTGTGAAACTTTGTACACATCAACCTATAATAGTAGTTGGCCGTTTGCAAATTTGAAATTTCTCAGTTAAATAAATTTAATGTTTCCATGGAAACAAATTTTACTTATTTATTGGTTCACAGATATTATTCCGGAATGTGTCTCATTAACTATTTAAAATATCTCAATGAAACTTTGTACACACATTATATTATGTATTCTCTGTTGAATAATTGTTATGTTGGCCACACGTTTTACTATTATTATTTCACAGCACATCTCAGAAACCATTTAAGCTATATTTATGAAACTCCATTGAATTGTTTGTTGGGTTTTTTTTTCAAGCATGCATCACTCATACATCTGCAACTTTTTTTTCATTCGTTTTATATTTTGATGGTAATTTGTAATTCAACTCAATTTATATCCACTATAACCTGGAAGGGTGATTGGGATATCGGATACTATTTGCTATAAATCTAACTTGTAACTAGGGAGCCACGGGGTGGTGCGGGCGGTGCGGGGGCTCGGTCTGTTAGGCGCTGGCTCGCTAACCTGGAGATCTCGGGTTCGCTCCTGTGTTGGCGAGTGAGTTCTTCGAGATCAGAAGGCCATACAAGGAACAGAGTCTAATCGATCGGATTGGCATTCACGTAAAAAAAACCCTTGGCAGTTGGAATTCGAGGCCATAGTGTCGCTGCCCGAGCAAAATTTCCCTTATAGCATACTGAATTACGTATACCCGTCTTCATTAGCCCAGTCGGAGCAGAACAATAGGACGTTAAAACCCATTTCATTTCATTTCTAACTCGTAACTAGCATTTTGTTGTTGAATACAAATAACACAGATATTGTCTATCCTGTATCTTCAAAAACATGTCCGAGGGCGCGGTATGTTCATGATCGAGTCTTCTTGTTTTCTTCGTATAACGTCAACAATATAGTCAAATTCTCCACTAGCTAAGATTTGCTAAAAGAATCGAGCTTGAAATACGAGTTATGAATGTTTTACTGTTTTCGAGAATAATCATACTAATTATGGACATAAGTATTGAGACTTAATTAAATATAATATACTGATGGGTCTAATAAAATAATAAAATATGAATAATCTTTACTTACTGAACATTATGGTGTCTGAGCACTTATTCTCACTCGGTATACAAGGCTGCTCCACCTTGGTATTCAGAGAATATACAGTATTTTGATTTCATTCTTGGGTGTATAACAGTTCTAATGTTTTATAACTTTTGGTTTTCAATGTTAGTATGTTTAGGAATCTGGCGTATACCACAAAAGCTGATTGATTTATCACACGAATAAATTGCCTAAGATGGAGGCACTTTACTGTTAAAAAAGAACAAAAAATATATTATAAGCCTTTTTACTCTGATTATAAGATAACTCTAGATTTTCAGGAATTTGAAAGTTTACATATTATACATATTTGTTATATAGGGTAATATGATAATTGTGTGTGTGGTTTAAGTGAGGGTTATATATATATATATATATATATATATATATATATATATATATACTACAAACAGCTGTGATACGTATATAACATATAATGTACCCATAGCGCCAAATAGACTATTTTTAGAACGTACATATATATTTCCTGCCTGACTAGCAAGCGACAATTCTGGAAAAGGGAAAATTATTTAAGTCATCACGACACACAATGACATAATTATATAATAGTTTAAATATTAAAGTCATCTTAACTTGACACGATGACATTCTCATTGTTATCGTTACAAATGGACTGCTACATTTTCCTGCCTGAGAAAATTGTCAATATTACATATAGTTAAGATTGTCAGTATAGTCAGCAGTATCCGGAGCATTATAGCTAAGTCATCTTTCAGTGCTCTGACAAACCATGAGACCTATTCTAAACTTTTATTTTTATTTTTGCCATAATTCTATAAATTATAAGGGACACAGTAGATGTCATTTTATCCCATCACTTATTTCTTAGGAAATGTAAATCGTTTGTTTGAGTAGTGAGAGCAATTGTTGTTGGAATAAAAATATTAAAGAAACTTTTAACGGGCGGACAAAGTACAAAATCCGGTGAATTGGCTTAAATCGAATAAACTGTGTGGTAAATATACAGCCGCATTGAAAACACATCGCTTATGTGATACCGGAAGTGCTTGCACGACATAATTCCATTTTGGCATGATCGTAGACTAGACACTTACCGAAACAAGAAAAACAACAACCTACGAAAGCCACGATAACTTTTCAGTTCAGTGAAACGTAGGGGCAAGTAGTAAATATACAGCTATGGAAAACACAATCAATGCTGCTTCCAGTGGATCTGGAACTCATGCCCTATGTAATTAATTCAAAGTCTCTTTCTCGGCAATCATCTGTCAGCTGTGGCAAAACTGTAAATTCCCATTTTATACCCGATGTCTGTACCATAACTTTTAATATTCCCATGCTGTCGATTTCAATTTGTTGTGCTTAAGTGAATTGATTTGTGGTGTGGTGCGTGAAAACATTCCTACTTGTTATGTTGTTGCACTCAGTAATTGGAAGATAACAGGGGCCTATTTCACAAAAATTTAACTAAGATAAAAATCCAAATTTTAGTAATTTGATTGGATAATATTAGATTGATTTTAGCGCTTAACCAATCAAAATTGAAGTTTTCAAGGTTTACAATTAACCATATATATAAGTTTTGCGTTTTCGCTGTGTCACAGTATATATGGTATTTGATAGTGGTGCCCAAGAATATTTATATATATATTATAACTGGAATTAAACGTATCTTGGATTGTTGTATATTCGTCCAGTTGTGGGGATTTCGTAATATTTAGTCCAAAAATATGCCATGGATTGATCGAATTTTGGAGGGTAAAATGTCGTAATTTATGTTTCTTTGTCTTCAGGAAATGCTGAAATTCTCTTTCCTTTATTTTTTTTAGATAAAATGTTACGAAAGGGGCGAATACCCGTTACAGATGTTAACCCCCACTTACTGTGTGTATTGTGTGGGGGATATTTTATAGATGCTACCACCATCATAGAATGTCTACATTCTTGTAAGTTTATATTTATTTATTGATAATTATATAACTACAACCTTGACAAACGGTATTAGGTGTTCTAAGATCATACTGCCATAACAATCATACATCATCACATTCTTGTAAGCTTGTATTTACAATAATCATAGTCTGTCCTTGCTAAACAGTATTGATGTTTTTAGATCAAGCTTTCCTGTAACACATTATCATACCTTATTATATTCTTGTATGTTTATATTGACTATAATCATAAGGCAAAAAGTAGTTTAGCGGTATTAGGTGTTCCAATATCATACTATCGTAATAATCATACATTATTACATTACTGTAAGTTTATATTGACCATAATCATACAACTAGAAAGAAAATTATTAGAAAGATAAAAATTATTAGATAATCGGTCTTTGTTCAACGGTATTAGATCGCCAAAGATTATACTACCGTAACATACCATCATACATTATCAAGGTCCACAACATAAACTTGTTAGCAATAAACCCTACTCGTGATAAATATGACAGTTTCATTGTTATTTTATTTTACAGATTGTCGAACTTGTATCGTTCGTTACTTAGAAACCAGTAAAATGTGTCCATTATGTGACGTTTTAGTTCACAAAACCAAACCGCTGGAAAATTTAAGGTTGGTGTGCAATCCTTTGCAATGTATACAGTTTATTTTCATGGTATATTCAACCAATCTAAATAAAACATTTTACACATACAATGTACAGAGTATAAATTATATTATCCATAAAAGATACCAAGTCATCTCAAGACTAGAATACCGTTTAATTTTTTTTCAATAATTCACTTGCGTGTGGTGGTCTTGGGCTGTTGGCGGAAACCGGAAGACCCGGAGAAAACCCACGAGGTTGGACATGCGACCCTTCTCCTTATCACGTCAAGTAGGGATCGAAATCACGCCACTTTGCGATGTATAAATGAATAAATAATTATGTCTTCGGACTTTATAAAATGATTAAATGTGGTATCACATATTCTCGAGAGGAAAATTACATCTTATGTACATGGCACCTGCTACTAAAGATAATCTGACAGTTTGGATCCGCATATCGATTTTGTTCAAATCTCTTTGCGGAAAATATTAATATTAAAAAAAAATGGGTTAAACTACGTCGTATATTTTATACGGTGTCCTTTAAAATGTTGTTTAAATTTTGTGATATTCAGGGCAGACAAAACGTTACAAGATTTGGTTTATAAACTAGTACCCGGTTTATTTGAGTCTGAAATGGCCAGCAGAAGAAAGTTTTATGCTGAACATCCTGAAGCCTGTAAAGACATTTCTTTAGAAGATAGAGGCGATGCCGTTATGGAGAAAAACCTCGATTCTGAAGAAGAGCAGATCAGCCTAATTTTGGAACTCAGTGCAAAGTATGTATAACGGCGTTTTTATACGTTTTCTTCAGCATTAAAGAGTCAAATCCGGCAAATACAAAAACTGTTAGCTAGATGAATCTGACAAAGTATTCGGTAATGTAATTTACACGCTTTGTGAAAAATGTAACTTTGGAATATGCAAACGTATTGATTTTTTGATATCAAACATATTAATGATTTATAAATAATCGGAACACATCGATTTATTTAATTATAAATTGTTATACATTGTCATTATTTAAGGAATTGAGCAAGATGCAGTATGTACGATTTAGATAAAGAGATGACAGTTCTCGCTTTAATAGTTAAACAATAGATAATGAAATGTGAATATGTTGAAAATTTTAGTTAAATTACTTCATTCTGAGTGGGTTTATCGTCGTTTACAGAACATCGTTGTCTCAGTTGCCATTGCTACCGTTGATACGATAATAAACAAAGTCTCGATTATCCATATTTAAATTAAGTCATTTACTGCCAATCATATTTAAATCCGTTGAAAATCAAAACCACCTGAAGTTCTAGAGAGCTGGTTATGGACCTGACATGTAAATAAATTTGATGCCAAACGAAAGATCTATATTGGACAGACTTGGCTCATGGTGTTTTCTTGAATGGCATGTATCGTGAGTTGAAATGAAAGTCTTGAAATATTATATGTAGTTCGATTGTGTAATTCCAAATGGCAGTACAGATTAAAAGATCAAAGGGTTATAATTCTATAAAACAAAACTGTCTTATTTTGATGGCATTGATGCCATACTTCCATAATCTAAGAATATCACAGACTATTACCAAAAGCATCTATAAGCCCCCCTTTAAAAACCTAATCTTAATATTTTACTTTCAGTGGAAGGCCACCAGGTATTGATAACTCTAATGCACAGGTAATTAATTCTAGTCTAACCAAAAATGAAAGTTGTTTTTTTTTAAATTTTTATGACAGTTTTTTTTTATTTTGTGCTATGTTTGATTGAAAACCCGTCACTAATTATTTCCTTTCATTAATTTGTATGTATGCTATGAAATAAAACAACCTTATTAACCCAAAGATAAATTCAGAACAAGAAACTGTTATAATGTTTGCCACTTTAGTAAGATATTAAATTTGTAGCTATAATAGATATTTGTGATTTCTATCAAGACCAATATGTTTATTTCAGATAACAGACCGTCGTTATTTATTATGTCCCAGTGCCGTGACCGTAGAACATCTAAAGAAATTCATCCGCCTAAAGTTTGCTGTGCCTACTAAATATCAGGTATTGTCAAAAAGCTTTCAACACGCCATGTGTCATCAATTTTGATTGGTCCACACTCCTTTTATCTCATATAGACTTGTTTATCCGGGCACAATCGCCATGTATAAGCAAGTGTGTGATCTGGTTGATAAGGACTATGAACCCCTGCAGTGAAGTATAATTGAAATTTTTACTCTTTATATCTGTGTGGTTGATTTATGTGTATTTTTATCTTCCACACATCTGCCACTAACTATTTATTTATTATACGGCAAACACCCGCCAAACTTTTACATTCTTACTCTATGTGTATATGTATATATAGGGTCAAAGATACATTGTTAAAAAAAAGATTTATATTTGAAAATAAAGAACAGTTTCTCAACCCCAATGGCATCTACAATTTTGTTTATCCAACACGATTAATAATGTTGAATTACAACATATTTTACATAACCCTAAAATCATGTATTAATATTTTGCAGTAATACAAAGTTTTACAGCGGCTATAAAATATTTTGGGTGCTATAATTTTAAACTAAATTTGTCAGTAATATTTATTCACTTTGATGTCACGTGATACGCAGATAAAATCTTGTTGATTCGCGTAAGTACAAAAGAAAAACGATACTTGTTAGGTATTTTAACTTTTAACAATGAAACGAATTCTTATCACTAGGGTAGGATTAACTCTCTATCTTTATAATGTATCATATCTCGTATGTATATATCTATTTTTGTTTTGTTACAGATACAGTTTTATCATACCCGCCTAGAATTATCCGATAACTTGACATTATGTGATATATCAACATTATACACGTGGAGACGGGTATGTTATTATAACAGATATTATATCTCAATAACAATTATCGGAGAGCCACCATGGTCGACCGGTTAGGGGGGCTGAACTCTTGTCTGTTTGTGGCTTGATGTTGCGGATTGGCATGGTACCCCGTTTGGTTTGGACCTTAAATCTTTCCCTTGCAAAATAAGCAAACTTAACCTTGACATAATATACAGAACAGTCAATAAAAAAACAAAACTATCGATTCACAGGGAAATGAAAAGTCTGTAAATGCAAAAATACAATTTGAGTAGTGAAAAGTCTTACTCGTCTCAAATTTTCAAGAAATTGGTGTGTCACAAATATTTTCTAGGCAAACCCATAAGAGTTATTTTAGGATTTAAAAAAACTCAAGGTTTTCAACAGGAAGTAAGGAGACGACAATAAATTAATGTCGATAGTCATAAGAATGTTTTCTTGTGAATATTTATGACGCGAAACATGCACAATAACGTAATATAGCAATCGGATTAAATTATAGTTCTACAGTCTGTTTCGTTTTTATACGTTCACCTTCATTGACATAGGAGTACAGACATTTTAGCCTGATTACTTTGGCATGCAAAGTCTTTAATTAACATATACGACCAGATCTCAAATTTATTCCTTGTAATGTCCGTGTATTATGGGACTTGTCCGTGGGTTTGTCCTCTGGGATTATGTTAGTTTGTGTGTGGTGCGGTTCTCCTGCACCTACACCTACTAATAGAAATCAAATAAAATAATGCTTTTCTGAGCGTAAGGGGACACTTTAGCGGACCTAATGCTCAGGCATGTCCTGGTACTGGAAACAAAGCCAAAATTCTACTCTACACCCCCGTGTGGCCTATATCTTCATTTTACACCCACACAATATTAACTTTAACCAAACGAGTTAAAAAGAATAACAATTTATATTTTGAAATACAACATAATTGGTTTAATTTGTCTTTTGCAGACTCAACCTTTAAGGCTGTTCTATATGATATACGACCCACCCCCTAATCAACGGAAACTGGTTTCCATACCGGAAGACAGGAGACGGCGGTCTAGTGTCAAAAAGTCAAAAGCTGAAGTAAAACGGAAAAACTCGAGGGAGTTTGACTTTATTAGTGCAGAGAAGGTCGCTAAAATAGCCAAGAAAGGAGACCAGTCAAATTTGCTGGGAAGTGACTCAAAATCTGTCCAGTCAAACGGTATGCAGATAGATAAATCAGATATGCGCACTGTAACCCGTGACGTAAATGAAAATTGTGTTTTACCTCAATCCGAAGACGTCAAAACTGAAGTGTTCATTAATGATACTAAAGGGCGTACGTGTATAGATAAAGCAAACTCTTTATCTAAATTCACATCATTGTTTATTAAACCAAAGACGCCACCTAACGGCAAACATAAATTATCTCGGGGTAATGACTGCCACCTAAAATCAAAAATAAGTAAATTGGACATTTTCCTGAAGAACACTAGCAGAAAAAGTAAAAATTGCGACTCGTCCAAACTATTAAATGATAATAAAATTGTTGATGGCATGAAGCTACTGAAGATCAACAAAAATGGCGAGGTTTTTAAGTGTCCGACGTTGGATAATAGTGATTCATTAAAAAGTCCAGTTAAAAGTTCAGACACAGTAAAATTACCCAGAGGAAGTCGAAGTGGGGAAAGTCTTATCAGACCCGGAAAGAACATTAAAGTTAAGGAGATAAAATCCACAAATTGTGCAAATAAAAGTGACAGTAGTGAAGATGAAACTAAAACTCGTGTGATAATTGATATAAATCGCGCAGCACCCAAATCGCCATTCAAGTTCTTTGATACAAAGAAAACCGTTCTTGTGCATTCGTCCTTAATTACAGACCTAAGTTGTAGTAAAAGTGATATCTCCACAAAATTAAACAATAACAAAAGTGGTGTAGCGAAGAAATTATCAATTAAAAAAGACGAGGTTGTGACGAAACCGCGAAATAATGATCAAATTAATGGTAGCTTGCAGCAGAGCAAAGTTGAAATCCCTGAAGTAAATGTGGGGACAAAGGATAAAAAGTATAAAAATACCGCTAGAAAAGTAAAAGACATGTGTGTACCTAATGCAAAACAAACGAAAGTAAAAACTGATGACGTTTTGCCCAAAAACAATAATAATGACGTCGTTGTGAAAAATGACGTGGCTGTGAAGAATGACGTCCAAAGAAATAGTGATACCTTAGTGAAAAATGATATCAGTGTGAAAAATGATGTTATCGTGAAAAATGATGTCGGTGTACAAATTGACGTGATAAATAAAAGTGAAGCAATTGTGAAAAATGGTGTGGTTGTTAAGAATGACGCCATTGTCAGAAATGATATCAGTGAAAAAAATGATATCGATGTGAATAAGAAAAAGGATCAAACCGAAGATGATGTAGAAATAGACAGTGGAAGAGAGTATTTAAAAAAGAAGTGGTTCAAAAGCAGAATTAGCAGAAATTCCATCTCCAAAAATAGCGATGTCAAAAATGGCGTCATTCTGAACGAAAAAGACGAAAAATGTGAATCTAGTGTTAAAAACATACCAGCTATTTCTACACAGGAAAACGCAAAATCTGAAAACATGAACAGTGATAAAACTAATAAAAATGCCACTTCAACACATCCAGACTCTAACTGTGACCTAAACAAAGCAAATAAGGATGTTAAGATACAAAAACATGACCTTAAAAACATTTTAACTGTTAAACAAAAAATAAAAGCAAGTGACGAATACGCACTTCAGACAGGGGGAATAAATAACATTTCAGAACTATCCAAAAATAAAACAATCAAGGCAAACGTGAGCCCAGTAAATGATCAAAATGTTGAACACGTGGGAAACACTAGTAAGAGTGACATTACTTTGAAATCCAAGGATAAACAAAATGACGTAGCAGTTAAGCCTGTTAATAACGCCATTGACCAAATTAAGACTGGTAAAAATGACGTCACACCAAAGACAGATGATGACGTCCTGGCCAAGCCAAAAAATGACGTCACGGCAAAGCCAAAAAATGACGTCACGGCGAAGCCAAAAAATGACATCGTTAAGTCAAAAAACGACGCGCCGAAAAAGAAGGAAAGCAGAAATGGCGTCATTGCAAATGAACTTTGTGAATCGAACGCCGAGGTTCAAAAGAATAGTACTAAGACTGATAACGATAATGTAGAAGATAGTGCTCTTTGTCATCATAATTCGCTAATATTTAATGCCGGCTTTGCTACCGACCCTTACTCGTTCGAAATGGATCACCAGCCTTTAGATCTTTCGGACGTGTCGCTTAAAAGATGTGTGAAAAAATCGGTGATTTTAAACAAATAAAAAGGATGCTTTATTTACAACAGTTTTATTTTGTTTGTTTATACTTGCCTATAGGCTACCGGGATATTAAAATCAACTTTTTTTTTGATAATCCTACTCGGGGTCGGAGTTTTAGAAAAATTATCAAAAGCTGCATCCTAAAAATTACATGTAGGAGCAAGCTAATTTCAGTTAAATATTACACTAGATTAAATATGACTTACATACATGTAGTTTTATTTCGGGACTAACACATGGTTCAATTTCATTTCAATAATTCGCTAGTGGGTAGGGGGTCTTTAGCAGTGGGGGGAAGCCGGAGGACCCCGAGTAAACCCACAAGGTTGGACAGGCGACCATCTCCTTGTCACGTACAAGCGGGGAATCAAAACCACGCCACTTGACTCAATGACAGACAGTATGATCAAACGCACACTAGTTAGCCATTCGCACCCCCCCCCCCTACCCACCCTCCCTCCCTATATTTGAATAAGTACTTACCGGTAAAATATTAGAAAATTAACTTTTGGCTGAAATGTTCAGGACATAAATTTAAGATATAATTGTATTGTATGCCTCTCTGTCAATATGTTGAACTGTCGCATTTATACGTCTATCTCATTATTTAATACGGGCATGATCGCAGGGGTATTACATAAACACCTGATAACACTTACTTAAATATGTATTTATCAATATTTCTGATTTGGGTGGGTAGGGTGGGGTCGGATGGCTATATTTAGGAACATTATAATATTTTTATTAAAAGGAATTTGCTTGAAAAGTAAGTCTTTGGCTTTATTATAATACCTTGTCGCCATGTTCTGTTTTAATCTTATATTTATCCATTTGGCCTACATTAGCAAAAAAAAACATGAATACTAGCATATTGTACCGAGCTCTAAGTAAGAATTTTACCTGTTTATTAAAGTCTCTGGTTTTAACTACAATATTATGAAAGTTGATTGTCTACAGGGAATATCAGCCCAACTGTGGTATAAATTTGTTTAGTATTGATCAATTGAAAATATCGCAACATTCAGCATCCTCCGATGATTATATAAAATGAATATGGTCAAAACGGAAGTAAAACAAAACTTTCAAAACGGCCAAACATTCGGTCCAAAATTATGTAAATATTTATCATTGAATTCGCATTATAAAAAACACACATTTAATTGTCGTTATGACCCATATATGGCTCCTAATCGTCTTAGCTAAAATCTTTTGATGAGCCTCTGTTAAATCCGATTTAATCTAAGCCAGCCGGGGGATTATCTTGTTTATTAATTAAATGTTAATAATTGACTAGAGTACATTTAGCGTCGGTTAAGCCGTCCGTGACAAAATAACGACAAACTTAAGAAATGAAATGGGGTTTAACGTCTATACTGTTCTGTTCCGACTGGGCTGATGAAGACGGGGATACTCTTATATCAAATTCCAACTGCCAAGGGATCTTTTATGTACATGTCAATGTATACACAGGACCTCGGTTTTTCGTCCCATCCGAACGACTAGACAGCTGTCCTTGGCAGGCCCTCCGCCCTGCACCACTGACAAGGGGAAACCACGTCGGAAATCCCGACGAACTTTCTCGGCCAATGCAGGGATCGAACACCCGATCTCCAGGCTAGCGAGCCAGCGTCTTACCCACTTAGCCACCGTTAGTTCCCCACAATTTAAATATTGTTCGAAAAATACGAATGACAATCTGTGGCTTTAGTAATATTCTAAGGTATGTGATGGGGTGGGGCGGGGTCGAGGAGAAAAATACTTAAACCAGGGGTCGCGTATTTATATATAAAGCCATACATTGCCAAAATATGTTAGCTAAAGGAAATAAAATAGGTTACCTAAACAAAATAAAGTGTCTTATACAAAACGCATAACGAAATTTACTTGGCCTGATCATGCATCTATTTTTATACGCCCACATTGAAATGTGGTCGTATATTGTCGTCGCCCCCGTCCGTCCGTCGGTCCGGCGGTCCGGCGTCCACAATTGCTTGTGGACTCTCTAGAGGCTAAAGTTAATATCTGATTGACTTTAAATTTATACACAGTGTTTAAGGTCATGAGACGAAGAAGCCTATTGATTTTCAGCGATTTCCGATAATTACTGCCAGAGTTATGGCACTTGATCACTTCAAAAAATCTTGTGGATGCTCTAAAGGCCAAATTTAATATCCGATTGACTTTAAATTTATACACAATGTTTAAGGTCATGAGACGAAGAAACCTATTGATTTTCAGCGATTTCCGATAATTACTGCCAGAGTTATGGCCCTTGAGCACTTCATACACAGTGTTTGATGTCATGAGACGAAGATTCCTATTGATTTTCAACGATTTCCGATAACTACTGCCAAAGTTGTGGCCCTTGATCACTTTGCAAAATCTTGTGATGCTCTAAAGGCTAAAGTTATAATCTGATTGACTTCAGATTGATACACAGAGTTTAAGATCTTGAGACGAGCAAGTATATTGATTTTCAATGAATTTTTATGAATTGAACAGTTAAATCCATGATATTAAAAGCTTTGCATACAAAACGTTAGCATGGGGCAGAACTTTATAAAAACCAAACAAATTCTAATAGTTTTCTGATAATTACTTCGTGAGTTGTTGCTCTTAATCAGATTTTAGTGTATTATAAATGTTTCATTACCGAAAAAAGTAAAAATATGTGACAACCCTTGTTGACTGCCCGGACGATTTAGTTGCTGTGGGCGTATGTTTCGTTGCCTGGCAACCTATCTTTACATCTAATCGTGCATCTATTTTTACATCTAATCATGCATGCATCTATTTTTACATCTAATCGTGCATCTATTTATTCATGCATAGACAATAATTATTATTCACAGAAGATATTTATCTCGTTCAAGTACTCTATTTTTAGCAGCAAAAATTATACATGGCAGGTCCTACTAATAACGCCACTCAGGGCATAGTTAAATTCGTATGAGTTGTTATTGATGCTGGCTAAGGGCAATGTTATCAGAAGTGGACTACACTCTCGTTTCGTTTGTTTTCCTGGTATTAAAGTGCGTACATGTATTATACACAGGACGCGATTCTGTGAAATAAGATTAGAATTATTTTAGTCTTTATCAAACAAATGTTGTCCTGTACAAAACAGCAGTTGTATTCCATAGAACTGTGTATATCATATTACGTTAAAAATAAATGTCATTAAAACGTTCAGGGATTATGTTAATCTTACATCTAATTTACTTTAAAACCCTAGCCCCTTTTATAAAGCTCCAATATTAAAGGATACATAAGTTAAAGGGCTAAACCCCTAACTCAATATTATCCATAATATTTGATATTAATAAGCGGTTGCCATGCAAGATACCCCCACATTTTGCAAGAGATGGACAGAGAACAAGCTAAAAGGATGCCTCGTACAATTAGGGATCATAATCCATGCGTCAATATCTAAAGGGGCCGAGATTTTAGGGATGTAAAAAATATATTTTAAGTTTCATCAAAATCAGATAACAATTGTGACCTCTTGAGTGTCTACAACCTTGGTATTACATGATTATTTTACTATTTGCGTAAAGCGGTGGCCATTTTGTCAGACAGTCTCAATCCGATTTTCACGAAATTGAACCCAACCGTATTTATGGCGTAACGGTGATACATTTTGCAAGAGATGGACAGAGAACGAGCTTTAAAATATGTGATTTTTTGTACAATTAGGGGCCATAATCCAGGAACCGCGATCTGTTGGATATAAAGATTTTAAGTTTCAACAAAATCGGATAAAAATTGTGAGCTCTATAAGGTCCACAACCTTGGCATTACATACTTTTCGTACAATCAGAGACCATAGTCCATGAAGTTACGGTCCGATACATGCCACAGGAACCAAGATCTTTGGGATATAAACCTATATTTAAAGTTTCGTCAAATTCGGATAAAAATTGTGACTTGTAGAGAGCCCACAAACTCTAAATGTGAACAGACGGACGTTCGGAGGTCCGGACGGACAGGGGCGACGACAATATACGTCCACATGAAAGTGTGGGCGTACAAGAACACGAATTAGAATTCGATATTGGTCCATTTCAATCAATATTGATTTTGTCATTTTACCGTGAAATATTGAAAGATCAGCAGTACACGACGTCGTGTACTCTATGGTTTCGAGTGGCATTTGTAATGAAAAAAGAAAACATATTCCACAAGACAATGCAGAAGTAATTGAATATGGCTGATTCCCAAACCACAAAATATTTTCTAAAAAATAAGTGTAGAATGGACTAATCAGGCAGAAACGACGTATTTCGCCGAACATAACTGATTAGAAAATACAATATTACATTAATATGTATTTCGAAATCAAATTTCTCGTATTTGAAAGTTCCAGAGAATATAGTTATACAGAATCACATTTATTTAAAAACATTTAAAGCTATTTAAAGTTTAGATTGGTTTTTTTTATTGATTTCACACCGCCATCTTTCGCCGTCTTAGATAAATACGCTATATGTTTCTAAGAAGCCAGTCCATTCTTCATGAATTCAGTAGGTTATTGTTTTACTTTCGAGATATACGTGAACAATCTGCCTTCCTGTGCCGTTAAATAGTAAATTGGGTACGAAGTGTTAAGTTTGGTTCATAAGATCTGTCATTGAATCAAGTGACAAGGTTTTGATTCCCCGCTTGTATGTGCACAAGAAGTGGAGTCGCCTATCCAACCACGTGAGGTTCTCCGGGTCCTCCGGTATCCTACCACTACAATAGACCTCTATGCGCAAGCGAGTTATTGAAATAAAATTGAACAGAATGTTAGTTCCAAAATGAGCCCCCCCCCCCTCTCTCTCCCTCTCCCCCCCCCCCCCTCTCTCTCTTCTTGCGGAACTTGTTTGGCCAACACCGGGGTCGCCCATGGTCTTCATTAGTGAGCCACAACCATACTCTCCCACCCACCATGGCACCCTGAATTGTGTTATTTTCAGCTTTTTAAAAAACAAACAATCACTAACTTATTTTCGTAAATTGCTTTAATGACACACGTGTGTTT